ACGCAATTCTGCTAATTTTGTCTAATATTCCATCAAACATTTTAATGGCACTTTGAAGAACATTGCGCTGAGTTTCATTCGACCGAACTGGCAGCGTAAGTCGTAGAAACGCGAGTTTCAGCCATTAGAACCATCAAACTCGTATGGTTTGCGCCATAAAACAGCAACAATTGAAAATTTACTTCATGAAAGACAATTTTGCCGGCTGGCAATAAACGGAACTGTGCATTACTCGAGCAACTACGATTAAGGATATACTCTGGGGCATCGCTTCGTTACCAAACTTTATATAATACCCTCTAAAGCACGTTAACTTATCAGAAAAGGCTTTAGAAAGGAAATTAGGAAACCTTCAAAAGAAACGAATGGAGGGGTCTTTAGGGAATCACTTTGCAAAAGTTTAAAAATATCTTTGAATAGACGCATTTTTCCAATGAAATAATATACTTCTGAATCCAAGAGGACAAGGAGACTCAACTGAAAGTGCTATCAAGCAGAATAGAAGACTTTTCTGATTTAAGTAAGTACACATCTCTCTCAATCAAAGAGCTAATAGGCTAGAAACTAGGCCTGTAGGTGAATGCGATTATACTTATACTCGGACTATATTTTCAACATGCCCGTTTTTCTTGTTGTGAGAGAAAGTTTTCTGATAAAAATACATAATTCGGCTATAAAAACGATCGTTTTAAACCGGAAGACTATAAAACAGCATGTCGAACATAAAGAACAAAACCTTTATACCAACTTGTTCCCGCCTAATCTCGCAGTCTTCGAATACGAATTCTCTATTATAATAATGGACCACTTGTGGATGTCACAACTTCCAGCAATGGAAAGAAAAGGGCACGTAAGACAAACCCGAGGGAATACTACATCAAACCGACAAAAACACTTGGGGACTAAGGTTATGCGTTATCCTTCCTTAGATACGCATCCAATATATCCATAAAAATGAAAAGGGAATCGTCCCTTCTTGCTTAGGAAAGGACAATTTTGGTAATGGAACGGCAAGGGAATAGGCGTTGTAAATTGTGCTCATCTAACGCTCCAAACAATTACTGTTGGCAGTTGCATTATTATGCTGAAGAAAAAATGCGTCCACTTTGTTAAGTTCCTCTAATGAACAGCTACAGGCGACGGTTGGATCTCTTGAGAACCAGATATGATAATGGGCGAACCCAGCTATTAGCCAAACGGCAAAGTTAAAGGCGTTTTCAGCTTAAACGTGGCTAAATTAGGCCTGAAATCTGACCAATTTGTTTTCCAGCTATCTTAATCTTTCACTCTCTTCTTTATTGGGTTTCGCTGTGAAAATGAGCCACTTGTGGACGTTCCAGCAAAGTGGAGCAGAAAGGTCAGAAAATCAAAGATTAGGGCGGATGGGATCGGATTTCTATCATTTCCACGAATAAGCGGCAATAATCAACCTTTAATATTGATGGAGCTGATCATTGAGAGAATTTTTATTAGGCTTTTTTCATTGGGGATAATCTTTTTTTGAAAAATTGAGAAACTGCTATTGAAATAACCATTACAGATAAAAATTATAAAAAATCGAGCTAAAGGTTTAAATCGAGCTAAAGGTTATTTGCCATCGACCCACATTTCAAATAAGACGCATTAAACCAAATTTTCACTGAAGCCATTATAAAAATATCATTTAAATAGGCATTTAAACAAGCAGATTTTCTACACGAACTAAAACGTGTCGGCCTCTATGGATAATTTTCCTGAACGTGTTTCCCTCCGGTTAACACGCAATTATCTAAAAACGTTTCCGTAATTAGTAAACAAAATGCGTATTTACATTTTTCGTGACCTGTTAGCTCTCTGGCTTCACATATTTGTTTCATTTGAAAAATGATACTATGTTAAATAAACTTGACGCCATCGCATGCCAAGCCCTAGATTTGAATTACGGTTTACTACATCAGTTGAAAATTCGCTGATAAAAGCTCCAGCTAGAACCACTTTCAATAACTGCTGAATAAATGTTTTTATCGGGGGCAGTTTAAAACAGTTTTTTCTCTTGAACAGTTGCAGTCTAGCGCTCTTCTATTTCAGCATTTCAACGGCAATAAAAGTTGGCAGACGTTCCTAAATAAGGGCAGAACTTTTAAATTGGTAGAAGCGGAGAGGAAATTGGGTTTGGCCGCGACAATTGTTCCAGTTGTGACAAATTTGAATCGACATTGTGTTGAAAAAACTGGTCAATATATGCAGTAAAGACTATTTGAAATGTTCTGTGTTTGGACAGATTGATTTTGTCGCTCAAGGTGAAAATACGGAGTTAAAAATGTGGAATTCCAGTATAACTATTATGGAACAAAGCCTTCACAATTCATTGCTTGAATAATACACGGTATTAAAAAACAGAACGAATCCACTGATTTGCATGGCAATTTCCTCAGTTGACATTGTAAATTATAGCAGTAAACGTAATTTCCATAGCAAATATCTGTTTAAATCGAACATGTTTTCTAAATCACATGTTGAGGCTTAAATATGAAACTCAGAGGAATTAGAGGTATACATATAATTATTATGTTTTATAATTCTTAAATTGTTGTTAAGAATATAAACAGAATCTTAGACATGAACGCAAAGCTAATGCGGATAAAGACAAAACCAGGGAATATGCAAGGGAGAAAAGAAAGAGCATCTAGCGTTTATATCGGACAGAGAATGTGAACTCTTCATATGCACAAATCAATGAGGTTTCTATTAGCGACTGTCTGTGTGTTGGCGTGAGAAAATCGAGCATTCAACATTTGGGTTCGCCTGTTGTTTTATTTGCAAATTGTCTCTCAACACGGTTTAAAATTCATTAATTTTTAATCTGCTATTGATGGAATTATTCGTTTTTCATTTCCCCCCATTTCAGAACAGCAAATTGAATAACCTCCCATTGTTTCCTTAGTTGGAAAAATTGTATTACTAACCTCGAGGTCATTTCCAATTTTTACTTCAAATTACATTTTTAAGCGCCCGATATCTGAATACAGAGAATAAATAAAAAGAAGCAATTTAGCTAAGTGCACTAAAGCAACCGCAGTTACTTTTAAACGTTCTCTAAATAAGTATTTTCATTAAATTCAACATTTAGAAACGAAGTGTGTCGGAAATTTAAATATACAGCAAATTATTTTATTATCATTCCTGCCGCTTTTGGCACAGAAAAATAATTACACTGAATGTTTTTCTTTGGTCCCAATTCGCTGAATAATTTCAGTGCCCAGCTTTGCATCTCTTTGCCCAAGAGACGCAACTTTGAAAGGAGCTCGAAACTCTTGCGGTTAGTAGATTAATTTGGTAGTGAAGATTGGGAGACCCAATCTTCCTATGAACTGTTTGCTTCGGAAAGTGTTTAAAAAAGTGATTTTTGGGTCAAAAAGTGCTAATAATTTATAAATAGTTATATTATTACATAACAAAATATGCTATTTTTGTTTCTTCGACTGTTTCTACGTTGATTATTTTGTTATTGCATTCTTTAAAAGTTGACAGCTGGGCATGAAAACCTAATTAAATTTCCGCAATTTAGCAAAATGTTCCTGGGCCGATTGCCGGAATTGGCATTGAAATAACTATAGAAGAGAATTCTCCGTAGATTTAACATCTACAGAATTTCAAATAGATTATAAATTTTCCCTGATAGAGTTTAAATTGGATTTGCCGTGGTAACATAATTACGTTCCATATTTTTCTTTCGCTCTTAGAAACTGTGTAAGTAACAAACCAATAAAATATACCAGAAATTATTTCTCCTTGACATATTTCTCCTGTCTATTAATTGTTCAACGGAATTTAAATATCTACTATTTCGACGTGAAATTGTACACATTTTCTTGGCGTGTGACAAAGTTTAAACTATTTATAGCAAACGAAATAAACCCCAGATTATAGATTGAAGCAAAGTGCAGCGCATTCTATTCTAGGTATATTATAAATTTAAAAGCCGAATTTGAAATTCAAATAAATCATCAATAAACCATCATGTACGAACGATGGGTAATGAAATAAGTTTGGGCTTTTCAGCAAGTTTTCTCAAAAGATCCCACAATCTCATTCGTTTTAATTTGCGGCGTTTTGTTGTCACGAGAACGAAATTTTGATTTATGTGTTCGAGACTCACCTTAATATCTTCCAATTAGGTCTGAGAGTCGGTGTTTAGATGAAAAATACCGACAAGGCGGGCAAGAGAGAGAAATATAACGGCTATAAAGAAAAACCGTACCGGGATTAACATTTTTTCGCCATAAAAACCTCTTTTTGAAATATAAGCGGTTTAACATCAGGAAAGGACATTTGCTAAACAGCCCCCACATTATAAATAAGAAAAAAGCGGATTGAAAAACGATCGGATATTTTCCGCGTTAATGGAACAAAAGAATTCAAGGATTTCCGACCGAGGATTTTTATCATTGCAGCTTTTCATTTGCTTTTAAATTCACTTCACTTGGATTCTGAACATGCAAATTTTTCCCATTTCTTTCAGCTATTACTATTATTACAATTTAAATCTCATGATATTTCTTTTGTACGATTAAGCAACATTTTCATGCGAGTTTAGTTTATATTTTGAGCTTAATTTCTCTCTCACGTTTTATCCGCTTACTTATTCTGCTTGTTTTTCCAAGTACATTGGTAAGTATACATTTTCTTCTGTAATTGATTAAGTTTAAGCAATGTTTTTACTACTTTTCCTGACATTAAAAATACGCGAATAGTAAATACAGGTGGGTATAAAAAATGTCATCGCTTAGAGTCTGTGTTCACCTGTTCACCTAATTTCGCTGGAACTTGATAGTAAAACCGCCACGCTTAGCATTATAAAATTAAATGGCCACTCTGCACTATACCAAGTGTAATATCGTCATCTCACATCTCATTCTCATATTAACGGTCTCAATCTCTTTTATTCTCAACTATTGGCAGGAAGTCATCCATTTAAATAAATATTCTCAGTAAATGATACGTTTAAAATTAAATTTGTATCAGTTTCGGCCTTCCTTCGGATGTGCGACAATTGGAACTTTACGTTCGAAATAGCTTTTTGAAAAGTGATTTTGGAACTAAAAGTGGTCTGGGAATACTGAACTACTTGTGATTGATTGTGTGTGATTATGAGAGATTTTTGTGCAGTTATTCGACCAAAAAGTGCCAGCAGCGTTTCGGATTAAAACTTTGTCGGTCTGCAACCAGAAACTTACATTTGGCAGGTGAAAAAGTCGAATTGTTTCTCAAATGTAAGTGAGATCCACAGTGGCACTAAATATTTTCCAGTTGGTTTTATACAAACATTTTACAATTAAATGTTGCCGTTAAATGATGGGAAAATTGTTAAAAGTACTTTAGAGATGCTGCAAAGATAAAAACAGTTAGCGTCTTTGCTAACACAAAGTAAACTGCTCTTTTTCAATTCCGTGCTAGTCGTAAAGTTAGCGACATAAATTGGAGTTTTTAAGAGCCTTGTGAGTTAGGCTTTTATTCAAAATAGTGCAAAATTTCCTTGAATAAAAACTCGAAGAACCTACAGATTAGTTGCACTATATAATCCGCAGTTTGTATTGCTTGGAGACTCGACTGCAAAAGCGTTAACAGCACATTGATGTAAATAACATAAAGATGGGATTCTGTATATTATTCCAAAGCAGCAATTCATAATAAGCAAAAGGAAAAATCTGGCCCCATTATGAAAACATGCTGCTTTGGCCTTAAGTAGTCGCGTGAAAAAGTTATTATATTTATTTTTTAATTTTAACCAATGCCGAAACGTTGTGTAGTTTGTCGCATTTCTGGGTTAAGGCAATTAAGCCACTATCCACATGGAATGATGTCGAACATCTAAACAGTGGATTTTTCTGGTAATGTTTTAATCCAGGCAGAATTGAGATTGTGTTTTGGCCGAGACTATGTGAAAGTGATTGTTCTTGTAAGAAAACTGTGCGAATAGTATATTAATTTTGTTGCCATTTCGACCGGAGCCTGTTTGGCTTTGCAGGATTTTTACCAGGTATTGAACTGTTGGGATCATATAACTAATTTCTTAAAATAATCGCAAATGCTTTTTCTAACGTTCTTTTATCGCGCTTTGTCGGGAGTAAGGAGACAATAATTTGGGTTTTGCCTCGATTGTCCAACAGTAATAGTAATTTTTCGTTTTTTTTCATCATTGATTCAATAAAACAAAAGCAATGTTCGGTCACAACGTGTTTTTGCATCCGGTGCTAAAAGCCTGGTGATATTTATCAGAAATGAAATCACAATGTTTATTTACTGCAGTAAAAACGTCAGCCTGTTATCATGCTTTCAATTTTTTGCTGCCGATTTAATTGATTAAAATTGCATGAGGAATATCAAATATGAAAATGATGCAGATGATCTGGTGTTGTAGATCGAAAGCTGACTATACCATTTATCAAAAATTCCAGACCGTAAGCCGTTGAACGAGCATTAAATTTGCATTTTTCCCAATGATACATCGCAAGTATCCACTAGATAATGGCAATGGTTGTTGTAGTTTATTCCAGACATGCAGCTTTTTTATTGAGTTAGGCAAACCTAATAAAACGCTGTTGATACCAACTTTGGTCAGACATTAATTTTTGAATAAATTCCTCATTTCATCAATCAGATAGAATAATCTAGCCTCAGTTGCATGCGGTTTGATAGCTCGCAGTAAATTTGCAAAACCGCATAAATAGTATTGTATTCGTGTTTTTACAACTATTGGCTAAAATCGGGACAAATATTTATGAAATGGAAAATGGTATCAATTTTTCCAATTAATGTTTAAACATCACCATCCAGTGAAACACGTCTGTGACCAAATGTAGGTATTTGGCTAGAGAATCAAACGTTATTTAGTTGCAAAGTAATAACAGCAGAAAATTAAGTTTAGGAAAAAGTTAAGCATTTCAACTAAATTATACATTGCCAAATAAGCGCAACTGTATGCATTCAAGATGATTAATTTCCCATTGTCTTGTATGATTTGGCATATATTGGTAAATGCTCGAATTCAATTTGTACAACACGGACAAGTGATAATAATGTTCCCCGTAATATCAAGCGATATGCCTCTATTACTGTAATTGGGCTTATCTGGGGTTTGAGGGTCTCTTAGCATTTGCACGTGGCTTAATTAGGTGTAATTTGAGGTGCATCTGGCGCCAAGCCGAGTACCATTTCTACGCATTCAAATCACTTTGGTTCAACTAATTTTGAAACACCAAAATGTTGGCAAAAATTACATAGCGTCTGTTCCGATAGAGGGTTTGCAACTGAATTGAAAACGCGTTTTGTTTTTCACAAATTACCAAAGTTTCAGCGCTTTATTCAGGTTTTTATCGAGGCTTCAACCATGAATCCATTGAAATGGTAAAATTTCTCGAGTGCAACTCGTATCTAAAGCTTTTGAAATGGACTCAACCATCATACAAGTAACTTCAATTAAAATTAAAATATATAAAAAACGAAAGGAATAACGTTGCACAAATAAGAAGATTAAGTTAAAAAATATTCACTCAATGCTGCGGCGTTCGACTGCTTAATATGAGTTTTCGAGTAAAAATAAGATACGGATTGACACGATTAATAGATATAAGTTTATCAAAGAAATGCTAGATTTACGCTTATGTTGCCTTTAATTCTATTTGATAAATTTTGCCCAAATTGAACAAAGAATGAAAATATGAAGGAACTAAATTTCTATGACTCTTCCTCCACAAAAGAGTTTGGAAGAATAAAAGTGATAATTATCTAAAAGAAAAATTACACCCTGTGGATTTTCGCAACTAAACTGCTCAACAAAATGAAAGTTACACCGCCAAATTTGCCCAAACTTTGCAACTGGATAAATTCTGATTGTTTGGGGTGATTTGCTTTCTGTTTGAAGTCGTATTTAGCACCATTTGGGTTCCGTTAGTCCCTGTTCTGGCAAAAATTAAGCACATCAAAGAAATTTTCAACAGAGTAACAAATGAGAAAATGCAAAGTTTGACAAAAAGGGTTTCTTTTGGACCTCAACAGCAAAAGTATAAAGATGAACCAAATGGCTCCAACTGCTTTTTGAAATTTCGGTCTTCTCGTCTATTTACAGGATGAGCTCAAAAAATTACTTTTTGATCCTGGCAACAATAGCTTTTCTGCTCTTAGATTTTAAAAAAAATTTAAAAAATTTTAAACTTCGTAGACAATTTAAGACAAAAACTCGATAAAGGGGGTTGCATAAAAATGACCCAAAGCACAATTGCTCCTGAAATCTGTGATTCCAGCAAACATTCAACTAAAGTGCAGTTCACTTTCATATGTTTCGTTTATTTATGTAACCTGGTATGTTTTAGCTCCAACATAAACCTTAGATTCTGCTAATCGGTTCAAAAGAAAAAAACTTATCACTACAGTACCAACAATTTTTTAAGACCCTTCTATAAATAAACGAAATGAGCGAAAACAATTTTTTTTTGTCTAGCCATGTATGCAGGTGGAACTTCGTAGGATCTTTATTTGTACCACAATTTTTTTGCAAAAACATGCACTAACCGACAAAGGAATGTGGTAAATAACGCTTCAAACAGAAATCTAATTGCTCGTAGCGATCAGAATTTATCCAGTTCCAAAATATTTATACATTTTTCCGAGTAACGTCTAATTTTTTGAGCATTTTATTTGGCATAAATAGAGATGCCTAATATCTCATATATTTAACGACAAGTCTATTTTTAATTGTATTATTAATTTAGAAAAATTATATAATCGACTTGTTCATGTCCTATTGTGCAGAGGTATTGTTACTACCAAAGGGAATGCTTTAGTTTCTGAAGAATATGGGTTTATATGTGATTTCAACAAGCTGAGGTTTCTGCTTATTCCCTTAGATATGCGAGAAGTTGCTTAATTGAACAATTTAGAGAAAAATATATTAACCTTTAAACCCGAATTGATTTATTCAATAGCTATAGTTTTCTTTGCGCTTCCTCTGGATGCTAAACAATCCATTGATAAACAAGACTATCGCACTTCTTCTAATCCATCTCCAAGCGAGATTAAAAAATACCTTTAAAAGAAAAATCCGTATTATAACATAAGCTCTAAGTCCACCTATATCTTTCGTAATTTCGTTCTCTGCTTTCATAGTTTGCGGAATGAATGCCCAAAAACCGAACACGAGAGAACAAAAATGAAAAATGTTGTTGCGAGTTAAGACGAGCTTTCACTTGGTAAAGTTATATTATTCAATTGGCTGAGAAGTAAAGAAAAACACTATAAAATTGCCATTTTTTTGTTACTTATGGACCTATTGACTTTTATCTTAATTATAATCCGTTTACTCGGACAATTTTATCACGTTCTGGGCTTAGAACTGTTTGCTTGAACATAGTTTGTAATGGAAACTGATTCTTCTCCCTTCTAGATAATGATGGAATAGAATGTTGTCCGGAATGTCTTTCCTTTGGAACATTAGAAAGATGCCAACGGTTTGAAGCCCAATAACCTAATCAGTTGCTAATCTGTGCATTTTTGTGAAAGTAGAAACACCAAAATGGATAAGGAATTTAAATAGAAACTAAGGCACAAAGTTGCTCTAAAGAATAAGCAACACGTTCTTCACCAAACGTTCCGAAAAAAAATATGGAGAAAATACTCAGATCAAAGTATCATATCTGAACAAATTTTATGTAAAAGTGAAAAAACACAAAAAAAGCGAGAATTGAACACATAAAGCGTCTTGTACACATAAAGCGTTACAATCTTCTTCAACCACCTCAATTTTTCAAGCTTTCTTCCAGAGGATAGTGGTATTGTGGTCATTTAGTAGCCACTCCATATACAGGATGTTTGCTTTTAAATGGGGTGCTAAAATTATTTTTGTTTCAGATACTTGTGGTGCATGAGTCGGGACGGTGGGCGTTGGAAATGATGGCTTAGCGCCCCGGTGGCGTGACGTCATGGCCAGGGTGCAGGCGTGGCCGTTAAGAGGCTGGACCTGGATCCTGTGGTTGGTAGCATTGTGCGCTCTGGCCACGGCAGAGGTAAGCTCCAAAAGCGCACCAAAAGCTTACCAAAAGCCAACCATTTATCCCAAAACTACGTATTGATTGGCCCACCCAAACTCCCGTTTTACTTTACTAAACCATCCAGACGCAATGGAATTGCCAGTTTTGTAACCGTGTTGTGATGGTTCAGTTCATTTAAAATTGGAACCGTTTTAAACGTGTATGAACGCAGCGAATAAAGTCAAGCATAGGGCTCAAGTTCCCATACATATGTTTAGCTTCGGGCCTTGATGCTCCAAGCCTGTTTGTATAGCTGGAACAGCCCTTAACGAAGCTTAATTTCTTGATATATACATTCCATTTGAATTGCTAAGAATTACGGAGCTCTGTGCTACTTTGCGGAACATTCGAATAAACTGTTTTTCTCGAATTGCGATAAATCGCGAGCGTTTTGCATGAAACAGTTTTGAACATGAGCCGCGTGTTAAGGACGGAAGGTTTAAAGCTAAAAATAACAGAAAAATTTTAGAACTTTCTGGAGATTTAAGTTAAATATTTGAAGACGTTAGTTATCTGTTAAATTAACCTGCGCAATAAAATAGCACCCAGTTGCTATATTGAAATTCACTCTGAGAGCCAGACTTTCTTCATTTGCTGCATGTAAATCGAAGAAGCTGATAAATGAGTCAGAAGCCATTCAAATAAAGTGAAATTCATAATATCGCCGGGTCAGTTTCAGCCGTGCTTATAGCCGGAAGTTAACAACTACCCAGGAATAAATGACCAGGAGAATTACATATTGAGGCATTTAGCAGACAACAAAAGCTTGTATAGCGTCTAATAGCTTCGCTTTTGCAGCATCACGAATGCAATATCGATTACCTTTTCTATTTTAACCCTTTTATCAGCTTTATAGAAGCTCGCTGGATCGGTGAAACAATCAAGCCTCTAAACCCGGAAAAGAAAAATATTCTTAAAATTCTTTGCTTGCAAGTGGTCTTCTAAGAGACTCTATTTCCATTGAAAGCCATCAGCAAAGGAAATTACAGATGAACTTTGAACAGACAAGCAGCTTGTATGAGTGCAAGCAAATTTTCACTTTCGATTCAGTGGGTATTAAAATTCCGGTTGAAAGTCTTTTTTGTATTAACCGACAAGCAAAGAAGCGTAAAAAGAAACGTAAAAGATCTCCCAGCCAGCTAATTCGATAATTTACAACAATTCTGACACTGAATAGAAGCCGATTGAAATCGTTCCATCTCTTGGCCTTTTTTGCGCTAAACTAGTTATTGTCTTGCAAATCCCGAATTTACACAGGACGAATAGACATCTTTTATTCGAAAAAGACGCACCCCTTGGGGTTTCCTTTAAAGTCTTGGATTCGTTCGGATTGTTAACCGGGATGAAAACAACCAAGCAGTTTATCGCAATTTTTCTCTGGTTTTCTATTCATTCTCCCGAGTTTTTTTAGTTGTTTCAATGGAAATATTTGGGGCGGTTGAAAATCGTATTTCGTCCGGTTTAAATACAATATGAAGAAACGCTGTTGATTTAAATGTGAATAATTAATTAACTAGTCAGGACGAAATATTTAATTTGTATTAGTGCAGAATTATTCCATTTAAAATATTTAATGCGCTCGAATAACAAATTTAAATTACTCGACGTTGTTTAAATGCATCCTCCAATATCCGGTCGTATTTGTCAGTCGGAATTTTAACGAATAATGCAATAACTTTGCGATTGGGTTGGGAATTGTTGATTTTGCTGCACATTTCCTGCAGATTAAAGTTAACAAGTCGGCATTTTAACCGAAAAAAACCGTTGAAATGTATTCGAATTCTAGACCATCAACTTGATCAAATATTATGGATTGATTCAAACGATAATTTCGTTGCAGTGCATTTTCGGCTGATTTGCCAGGACTGTGATGCTGTTAAATTTCCTACATTATCTACTCAACGTACACATTTTAATAACAAAGCAAATTAAATCACTAATTCGAGGCATTTTATGCAATTTACCAACATTTGCTAATCCACTATTTATCGCTTGAAGTTTATATTAAATATTCGACTGGACCCGTTTTCTGGCGAGCCAAATCTAGAGTCACATAATTAACTAAAATTTCCATATAAACTCGTGTTAATACAGCTCAACTTATTTTTGCTGTACAGAGCAGATGCCAAGATTTGACAAGGGATAGCCGCAGGATGTCTTCGAAATTAATACACCCCAATTTCCCATATTGCAACTTAGCGATCATTCGAACCTTCGCAGACTTGGAGACGCACTATTGCTCACAGCTACTCGATTAGGTTGAAACGGGACTGAGGATGTAACGAAATTTTCGTCTCTAATTACTCAATAAAAACTTTTATGGAACTCCCTGGTTCGGCTAAGTAACTTCGAAATTCATCAAAGGGTCAGAACTGTGAATTATTCAAACGATTCGCGAAACGATATGTGTCTAGCCATCTGCTGAAGCAAACTTTATTATAAAACTCGCAGCCAACATGCGCATCATCGGGATGGCAATTTTGAACTTAATAATTAACTTCTAGTTCAGCATCAACTTTTAGCTGAGTTTTGCCAAATAGTTTATGGAATTGTCCTCAAGAACTTACATCAACTCTAGAGCTCCCAAATATGGAAGGACATAAAGAATATTATTTTTAAATGGCTCTTTCACAACATAGCTACGTTTCTCTATAGAGGCCTTGATGCGAAAGCTTACAGAAAAACATGCATTTGCACACACATTTCGGTGTTACCCTGAAAGCATGCATTGATTTAGCAAAGCTTGCTCTAATTTGTAGGCCTGGATTAAATCCTAATACACAGTTTGTCAAACGGTCCCAAGCAATTCTGCACGTGTATTTTATCTATACTAAATTTACAATCCCCTGGGGCGTGTAATAATATTAAATCGTGCCTCTTGTCTTATCCACCCAATTGTTCAGCCAAACCGATAAAACAGACTTTCAAATGTAGCTTTCCTCAATATGTTGAAAGCAAACATTGTGATACTCTTGCGGCGACTGGAGACTAACATAGACTGAAATAATATTTAACAGAACGTTGTAAATCGAGCTCCAAGGCTGTTGGCTCTTAACTCCATTTAGATCTCAGTGAGTTTGCAACCAAATAAATTTACATGGATACTTCATAGAAGTATCAGTGAAAACATCTGGGCAATTTCTCTAAGGATGTTTCAGCTTTCAACAACGACCTTTCCGAATTTCCTTTCCCATTCAGTGTATTTTTAGCGAGTCAAAAGTAAACCGGCCGACAGAAAAACTAACTTTTCCACAAGGTTTTTCGACGTTCTCCTTAATTGCTTACAGGAAAGCACGCTTAATTGGAACTGAACCTTAATACATTGAAAGGAAACAATACATTGAATTTGTGACATGTTCTGTTAACTCAATTTCCCGGCCATCAACTTTGGATTGATTTGGCAGGAATGATTGAGAACATATAGGGGAATTTGTTGGATTTTGGTCGAAAGTTCTTAAAGCCATTAAGTAATGAACTGGAAACGCTTTAGTAAATTCTCCGATATCGTTTTGATATGCAGAACGAACTAGTGGAGATACGTTATATCGATTTAAATCGTCTAGTCAGTTTGGAAACATGTTTCGTTGGATATATTGATCAAGAACATAAATTCTCTGATTTTAAATGAACAAGACGAGTCTCCGAACTTTGACTGCAAGGAAAAATTTGTTTTAAGGTATTTTTTCATTCTGTACTTTTTTTATAATTTTGTCACTTTCTCTTTATTAGTAAGTTTATTTGATCAGCTGTTTAACTAGCTGGCTGTATTGACAATTTCGAAGCGCTTTCTTTTGGTATTGATATTGGCCACAGCTTTCTATTGTTGCGTTTGCTTCTAACAAAATATATTTAATTTCTTTGTTCTGTTCGGAAATGTTTTTCATTTTCCCTTTCCCTAATGCTTCGCTAACAGTATTATCATTTGAAAACTCATAATTTTGATCCCAACGAATTCAATTCATTAAGCGGATTGCTTTTTGCCTTTATTTTTACGCATTAACAATATTTTCTTTTGTGCACTTAGACATTACTTGCTTTATTCTCGTTCGTTTATTCGAATTAGTGCATTTCTAAATATTATTCGTTTTTTTACTCAAACCATATTTTATTTGCATTACGTTCGGATTGGTTTTCCTTCCTTATAAACTGCTCAACAAAATTATCGCCAATTTACAAAACAGCCAAAATCTCTCTAACTTCGGAACTGGATAAATTTTGATCGCTTAAAGCAATATGGTTTCTGTTTGAAGCGTTATTGAGTGCTATTTATGTTTTGTGAGGGGCCCTTTTGGTAAAATTTAGTCACCTCAGCTAAGTTTTCTACAGGGTGGTAAATCAAAAAATTTCAGAGAGTTTGGCATGCTTCTCGTTGAACACAAAAAAGGTATTTTCGATCTCAACACCAAAAGCTTAAAAATAAACGTAATAACTGAAAACGGTTTTTGAATTTCCTCTAGAGGCCATTCCCTCTATTTACACAGTGGTCCAAAAAAAATTTTTGTTCTTTAAACGATAATCTTGCTGCTCTTGGTCCGATTTTTACCATCTAAAACTCATGTTAAATCTGAAATTTTATAGACAATTTAAGACCAACACTCGCCATATACGCCATATAAATCTGTGAAGTCCACTGATGAACTCTAGATTTTGAAAATCGACAATAATGTATCTCTGCAAGACCAAAAACGTATTTCTTGAAACAATTCTGTAAATAAACGGGATAGTCGGAAATTACAAAAAATTCAGATTGTTCCTTTAATCAAATTAAATAAAAAGAAGAAATCCAACAGCTTAGAAGAAGCGAAACTATTTTTAATCTTCTTACGTTTGCCCATTTTCAACTGAACATTTTCAATGAGCAATTGCACCATTGGAGGTAATTGTATATGAAATGTGAGTTTACAAAGCTCAGAAAGCTCACAAAGCAAAGAAAATTATTAAGGTAAATGCAGTAAATTGAATAATTTCCAACTAGGAATATTTAATCGAAATGGCTTTTACGTTCTATCTCAGCTGGTCAGTATCATTTAATATTGGCATTTCGAGCGCAAATAACCATTCCGATATGCTGCCAGTTATTCTAAAGCTTTTTCAAATTTGAAATTGTGGCTGACAACAACTGAAAATAAATTTTCTCTCCATTTCAGGCAACATGCAATTACTAACCCAGCGAAGTTCTAATAAAACCAAATAGCACATTTTTGCTGTTCAATTTCCTACACGAAAGATTTAAAGCAGCCTGTTTGTAAAACAAAAATGTTTTCCTTTGCAGGAAGCAAATCGAGAATCCAGATTCATTCAATCAATGCCATTTAAATTGTGTCGTGTCCTGTTCCTCGAGTGTAGCGAGAAACGAGAGACTCGAGACACAAAATAAGAAATATGTTCCAATATGTCAATGCAGTCGCTTGCTGCTTCTGACCATTAATATTGGATACTTTATATTCCGCCATTGCTCATAAAATATTGCAAGCTGTTGCTGCTCGCTAATGGATAATAGAATGGTTCTCGAATTTTTCAAATCAATATACGAAAAGAAGATGGAAAAATAAATTTGCTTTGAGCTGTGCTTTACAAAAATAAAACGAATCAGGGAATATGCATCGGAAATTGAAAACTTTATTACTAATGCAGAAGATTTTAAAAGAAAATCGTTTTTTTTTCAGGTGCCGCAAACATGTCCCCAACGAGCAGAAATTGCGCCATGCACCTGCCAAGTGAAAAAGAATGGTCTGGATATTCTTTGCGAGTTTACCGATCAGCTGCACATCAACAACGCGATGAGCATCCTGAAAGGAAAATCCCTAATTATTTTCTATTTAAAATTGCGCCATAACAATTTGAGAAAATTGCCTGGCTTCGTGTTCCTCGGACTTGATATCCATCATTTAACCATCCACAACAGCAGCTTGTCAGTCGTGGAAGAGGCGTCGCTCAGCTCGATTGGTAAGTTCATTTTTCCTGTAAGACCGATTGAAAAAAGTGTGAAAATCAATGAACCAATTTATATACTTGAAGAAGAAACAAATATATTTACGGCGAAGTATATATTGCGATGAAAAAATGGCCGCTTTACGGAAGTGCTTCATAAAATTTACAGCGCTGTTACTGAAATGATCTACAAATATCATGGTGATTGTGATCTGAATGGTCCCATTATTCAGTCACTATTTAATTAGCTTTGATGGGAATGCGTGTTATGGGCTCGTTTTGGGGTTTGGTCGCATTTGCCCAAAAACCTTTAGTGGTTGAAGTATTGCACGATACATCAGTTCAGATCGTAGGTTTGCACTTCAGCTAATAAAGTGGGACACTGACAATATATTTTTATATACTCAAAACCAACAGAACTTAACACGTTCCGTGGATTCTGGCTGCTTTTGCAAAACAAAATCGCGTAAATGAATGAATTAGTTGCTCGAGTACAATTGCTTAAACTAAAGCGGCAAAAAACTAACAAATCGCGATTATTCCATTACCGTCCATTACAGCTTAGAAAATTGATATAAAAATAGTGGCTATAGACATAAAATATTCAAAATCATTAATGCGACAAACAAGAAACAAGTAGAATAAAACTCAGTACATACTTCGGCCCAAGAACCATCCAAAAGAGGCGTTTAATACGGTATTTGGGACCATAATTAGCTTTCTACACCATTTCTGCTACGAGTAAAATTTGTTGTCGCCCTTTATTCCTCCTCTTTAATTTCGCACGCGATAAGGCCTTGTATCTGTTATGGAACAACAGGACATTCATTCTTCTGTTGCTAAGCAGGGGTATTTTACCTTGGCGAGCTTCAGTGCCTTTATTCATTATTTTCCATCTTTGATTGTTATTGGATTTTTTCAAAAGGTTCCACTGTTTTTGTGGATACTTCTTTAACTGTGTTTTTTTATCAATCTCTTCAGTTGCTTTATTCACTCTAACTGCTTCTTGATAACTGATTGAATGTGAGTCAAGATTTTAAGAACGCTTTTCCAGAGTTCAGAGCATATTTTGTTCTTGTCGTGCCCACTAGTGCGTAAATTTTCATTCCATCGGTGCTATTTTGTAGATTAAACTCCAACCTGCCTGGGGTGATTTTCAGTTGATCATTAAAAACGAAAGGTTTAATGAAAAAGCGGAACTTGAATGTTTGAATACATAAATCTGCGTTCTAATTGCTGTCAGCGCCAGATTCTTTAATTCTGGATTACTTTTTGTGATTGAAGCACAGTTGGATGAACCACTAACGCGCTTTAATTAGATTCGTTTGAAGACGGGAAGTTTGGCGTTTTTTCCTAATAGAACACAAAAGGGTACTTTGTCAATGCGTACGAAAGCCCAAATGTGTTAAGCATTATGCAATATCAGACTTATTGGGCAGGAAACTCGTTTGCTTGTGCAGGTATTGAAATTTGCAATTTTCCTGCCCGGTTTGCCAGTGGAATTTAACGCTAAGCCAACGGGAAGCAATTATTTTGCGCCTTCGTGTCTGTTTTGCAGGATTGCGGGCTTGGTTTTAGAGGACGCTATTATAAAATGCAATTGGAAACTCCAGAATTTCTAACTATAAGGATTAAAATTATAATGCATTAAACATGTACAATATTTGCGGATTTGTTGCAGGAAAAATGTTGACGCAGCTGGATGTTTCGCAGAACAGCCTTACGCAAGTTCCATCTCCCGCATACAGGAACCTTAATCATTTGTTGATTCTCAACATGAATCACAATAAGATTACCAGCCTGCATGCGAAAGCTTTTAATGGACTGGATACTCTGGAAATTCTTACTTTGTATGAGAACAAGATCACATCGATCGATCCAGATGCTTTCGTGGGATTGGAAAAGTAAGTACTCAGGTTTACTATCGCGTCAACCTGATTTATACCCAGAGAAGGTAGAGATAAGACGTAATGCTTTACTGGCTGCGACAATAAACGGGTATACATTATTTAACTATCCTCTCGCATTAGGTGTGCAGCTAATCTGTTGATGGTTATTACGGTTCGGATTATCTTAGCTCTGAAGCCTGCAGGCTCTTAGCAGATTTTCCACAGAACGTTATATCGAATCTGTAAATAATGTGAATTGTTCTGGCAAATTGCCGTTGGAAACAATTAATTCTCGATTTTTTTCATAGTGTTATAAGTGTGTTAAAATGCGTTTTTCTCGGATAGCAATCAAGAAGCAAGTAATTTGCAGCATAGTCAAGCTGTCCGACACTTTAAGAAAATGGCGCAGTAAGCAGGCTTAAAGAACATGATGGAAGCTAAATGATTTAATAAGGCTTGGAAAAATCCTCTACCGAAAAAGATTAAATGCTTTGCTTTCTACACAAAAACGCTCTGTTTTGTAGAGTTTTACTTAAAAACGCTGACGATTTGGATGTATTTTTCCTAAAAAATGAAACGATTTATTTATAGCTTTGTAGGAATTTTACAAAAACTTTTCGGAGTCAAATTCGGGACAAAAACGAAAATAAATTTATTCCGTTTGTTCCCGAAAACTTTTAAGGTTTTCGCAAAAACCGATCACCAAGTAAAAGTTTTTAATCAAAAAACGTAAAAATATACTTTTTTGGTGATTTTCTTCCTTACTAACAAAATAGGGGTCTTTGCAGCCAAAATTTACAAAATAAGTTTCGGTTCATTTATCGGTTTGCAGAGAACTTTGGAAAACCCCTTTCAGCTTCGAATTTGGTACAAAGACCAAATGATTTTATTCAGTTTTTTACCGAAAGCAATTAAGATTATTTTGAAAATACCGCCAGAGAGCGAAAGTTTCCAAAAAAATATTTGGAAAATTTGCCACCGTCATCGGTCTGAAGATATTTCAAGTTTCTTTAAAATTCCAGGTCATTCCAGTTTTAGCACAGTTTCTATTAAGCAATTCTTGCTACGCAAAAAACGTATTATTTTTAGTTTTACTTAAAATACTCACAATCTTCAGGTATTTTCTGTGAAAATAATAAAATAAATTTTATTGGAACACTCGTCCTGAACAGTTTTGTACATTTTTTTCTGAAACCTTTTGCAGCTTCCAATTTTGGACAAAAGCCTAATAACTTTTTCTAGATTTTTGCACAAAAATATCTCCTCGAGCAGAAGTGAAAGTGTATAATCAATTATTCGGAAAACTCGTCACTTTTGTCGCTGTGAATAATTTGGTTTATTTAAACTCCGGTGTCTTCACTTTTGGGTCAATATTTCTAAACAAATCTCTCTAAACAGAACAACGCGTTTTTCCTAACGTTTTACTGTAAAATAGCGGGAAACTGAGAGTCGTTTATGCGAAAAAGTAAAAAGATGGATTTTAGAAGAAAAGTCATCATCATCTTTACAGTTTGGTCTTCTTGATCATCTTATTCGAATGCCCGTTTTACGTTTGAATTTGGGACAAAATCGAAACAAAGTTATCTTGTTTAGAAAACTCGTCACCTTGATCGCTCTGAAATTTTTTAGTTTCTTCAAAATTTCCTAATTTTCCCCCATTTTAGACCAAATAGTTTCAAGCAATCGTATGCCCAAAAGCAATATGTTGATGGTTTTATTTGTTAGATGTTAAAATTCCGTCATCGGCCATGAGTTATAACTCATTACCCAATGAGTTATAAGACTCATTTACTCATAGAGCTGCAACAACTCAAAAGTGCAACTCAGCAGTGTTATCCAGGCCTACAAGGTGGTCACCGTTGTGTAGTTTGCATTTAACTGCGAATTTTCTTGCAGGAAACTGAAACGGCTTAACCTAGGAGGCAACGGATTAACGGCCATTCCTCAACGGTCGTTAGGCATACTCGATATGCTTAAGAAACTCGAGATGCAAGAGAATCGGATTAGTGAAATAAAGGAGGGAGATTTTGAAGGTAGATATTTTATGTGCCTTATTGATTTAAGGAACGTGCGAAGGGGTCATAATTCGCCGGTGATACAATGGCTTGAAAGTGCTATAATTTAAAAATTCCTCGTAAAAGTTCACATATAGAATAAAATTGCCCTTCTCTCATACCCACAGGTTCCTGTTCCTTTTCACGAAGTTATTAAACTACCAACTCTCATAAATTTTCCTGCTTGGAGTTTCCAGCCAGAGTTGGTGATAAAAAATGGGTTTCAAAGTTCACAAAGTTCATTCCAGCAACCTTATTACATGGGAATTAATATGACAAAATCTAATCAACTTTCACAATAGAAGTGCCTGGGTGGATTTTTTTATAGTGAACACGAATAAAACAATTTTGAATGCACTTTTTGTGGAGGTGAATTTATTTGAGCAAACCTTCCAAATTAATTTCCTGCTAATGAAAGCAACACACGACTGCAATGAAACTCTTTTAAATTGCATTTATCCGGGAATAGCGAGCGGGATTGGAAAATATCCAGAGTAAAACACAATAATGAAATGTAAACATTCCATTTCATTCTATTCGAGTGAATGGGAGTTGTAATGTATGCTAAGTAGAGTCTATTTAATCCTTGCTGCGTAAAATAATATAATTTGTGTTTTTGGGTGAATTTATTAAATTAATCGTCTGACTTTTTAATTAAAAACCTTTGATTTTTTTGTACAGGGATGCGAAACTTGGATTCTTTGGGACTGGCACACAACAAACTTCGAACGGTCCCTTCACGGGTATTTTCCCATCTCACCCTTCTCAATTCTTTAGAACTGGACGGAAATAATATCGACACAATCGATAAGGAGGCTTTCGCTGGATTAGAAGGTAAGATAGCGCCATTATGTGATTTCTCCTGGTGCAAAGCTTGTACCCAATTAAATTCAGCTGAAGAAATCAATTTTTAAACGAATGGAATTTTCCTGGATATTAGCAAAGCTAAAATATATTTCTCTTTTTCCAAACAACCATTAAGCCCTCAGGAAATCATGTTCATACATATTGCAATACTTCTAGCAGTTAAGGCAAAAATAATAAAAAAATATTCCAATTTACAGCTACTGTTGTAAAGTTATATTAACAGCACAGTATAAGAAAAAGGGTTTTACATAGATTCATAAATCAAGTGTCGAATATGGCAGGAAATACATTCTTATATTTAATATGAATTTAATAACGCAACCAAACCGTCACTAAAAATGATAAATGATTGGAAAATACCAATAATAAATTCCAATTTCAGCGTATACAATTTAACGTTTATAAAATCGCCAGCACGCAAAATATCGCAACGTTTAGTTCGTTTTATTTTTTAATTAAATAAACAATTCGAACATTAATTGGGCGCTGTTTAAAGGGGAATTATAAATTAAGTAAACTGGCACTTTTTTACTATCAATTTGGAAATTAGACTTCTATTGGAGTGGAAATGGAAGAAGATTTATAATCGAAGTAGCAATATAGGAAAGTCTAAATACTCATCCTGCTGGATAAAACATGAGGTAATTTCCTCTAACTGCCACAAATTGCGTAATTAGTGGCAAGCGATTTAGTGAGAGCATGTTTGTATCTGCAATATGGAGGAAATGGGAAAACTATCCTACTGGCACAAAACTGCAAGTATCGGAGATTATAGAGATTTCGATCATTAATTTACTGCTAACATGAACATAAGATTTATTAATTAATTTACTGAACGCACTCGATTCTAAAATTGTATTCATTAAACACAAATATTAAGGAAGCAAAGAACGAAATATGACTGAAAACCCAAATACTGGTTTAAAATGTTCTTAATTTAGTTCATTTATCAGTCGAAAAAATATTAAGGCTTGAATTGGCACGATTAATTTTTTACAATCCCCTAGAAACCAATCTTTTCACTTTTCAAAACGAAAACGATTTTTCCATTTAAATTCATGAAACCTATTACAATTGTATTGTGACAATCGTAATAATTTAAATAAAACACGTCTTTCCCAAAATGGAAGTGAAAATGGTGCAAATAATTTTAAACAAAACAAGGAGGAGTAAAACACACCTGAAATACAACATGCTATTTAATCTGTCTAATATTATATTAAATTATGGATAAGAAACAAAGCAGATAGCACTTCGAAATAAACTAATTAATAATTAAGTCTGACTCATTAAATTCCACATGCAAAGCGAACTTTGAGGAACAAACATTCAACATATAACACGCAACTGGTATTGGATTCATCATGCTAACGTCGAAAAAAGGCTGATCTGTCGGATGTTGCATAGATTGTTGTTTCGTTGTCTTCTGATTCGAGAAAATCTTTGTTTTGTTTGCAAAGTTTTAAAAAGTTGAAGAAGATAAAAATTGCAAATTAATCCACCCATCAATTTGAATATTTCAAATGCCCCGACCAGAATACATTTAAAAACGCAAGATATTTCTTGCAGATACTGCCATTTAAATTCTGACAATCTGGGTCGTTGCTTTCCATTAGTCCAGAAGCATTGACAAATCGCTGAGTGTTTAAACTCAGCGAACAAGTATATTTTCCATTAAACCATTGCGGTTAATATTTGGAGGTTTATTTTGAACGATAAATTTTAAACGAACAACTTCAAAAAAGATCGGAGGTTTTCATTGAAACTCCTAATAGTATACCATTAAAATCTTTTATAGAATTCGATTTGACTTCAGTATTTCCAATATCCGATCTACAATCACTCAAATTTCCCGGCTTTTTCAGTATCAATATAAAAATGTTTAACACAACACAAAAAGTTTAAATTAAAATATTTTATTTCATATGGTAAACTTTGCAGAAGAACTCCAATAAAATGCATGTTTCTACTGACTGAAAACTAAATATTCATTATTTCCCAATTTAGCAACAAAATCGCATGAATGTGTTCGGGCAAATTCTAAAATTTCAATTAAATCCGTTTGAGGCAAATGCTCAACTATTTCCGCGAGAACTGAATTCTATAGCAGGAATAATAGGGCTTGTTTACAAAACAATTAAACGGCCAGAATATAACAATGTTTATCTAATTTTGAATTTAAATCCAAACCAACTAAAACTGCTCCATTTAGGCAGCTGCGCTACTTCAGGGTTATTTTATCAATTTATTCGGCACTCTGCATAAAACATTTTCGAACATTTCAACAATATTTTCTTTGCTTGACACAAATAGAATAAGACAAAAGAAAAAATTGAGGCCTGCAGAACTAAACAGGGTTGGGAAATATATGTTTAAGGTAAAAAAGCATTTTATAAAAGCCCCTAAAAGTAACCAACCCTTTGGGCTTTGAACATTTGCTTATCAGAAAACAGAACCGACATTTGCAAGTATAAGCTTTTATGTTCATGTTAAAGATCCATCAGCAATTCAAAGCAGCCCCCGATCTTTGTAGAAAAAATATGGTTTTCTTAAGGTCAAAAAACCACAATTCGTTTATCTTATCTTCAGTTGTGATATGAGCGTAAATCCAGACGAAAATTTAATTAATTTGTGCATAACTCGATATTGTATGATACACATATTATTTTTTACGTGTGAATATTCTGATGAGAACTTCGTGATTATTTCCAATTCATGTTTAAATTATTCGCTGTATTAACAAGTTTGAAACATGCTTAATAATTTAAAAAATACCTACCACGGAAAAGAAACAAAACATAAATTACGGTGCAAAACAAAAGACGCTATAATTTTTAAGCGAACTTTTGCATAAATAATTGCTTCTTTTTAGTGCTTTTTGCACTTGAATAATTGCCATCTAGATTTTTAAATCTTTTGGAATTTAAGGCTACGGTATAAACGAATGCACTTGATGTGAAACATTTTAATTAGACTTTAGCGACCTAGTTTTAGCGCGAATAATTTCAGCTTGCGAAGTGGGAATTGGCTTTCGTGTGCTAACTGTTGAACATGTTTTCTGCAAATAAATATACTGGCTTCAGTAGAATTTTATTATAATTGTAGACTGTCTGCATTTTTAATGAAACAACTACTACTTTTGTATTTGTAACACGTAAATTTGCCCAACTGCTACCTAATTCTTTTTCAACGCCCTTAAGACTGGAATCTAGACAAATTTATTTGCTGAGAAACTGTGTCGTACGGAACTGGGCGTTTTCCTGCACAGAATTAGGCCGATATTAATGTTTTTTGTCTTAGGAGTTTTAATATTCTTCTGGTTTCATATCAAGCAGAAATGAATAATTGCTAAGCTGTTCTTGTAAAATTACATGAATAATTCATTAAATCATACTTTTGATTAAATATTTTGTTGACTAATTGCCTAGTAGTTACGTTGATTAAGATTAATTGATCTGCAGAAGTTCTACGTGTTGGCACTTTGGGCCATATACGGTTGATAAAATTCTCAGTATTTACCCTCACATTTGGAATCGAAATAAATCACAACGACGCATAACTCAACAACTTATGAGACACATCTCGGTGAGTTTGATAAATCGGCTCTTACAATTGTTGGCGCTTCTTTGCTTTTGGGCCTATTTCGCTGGAGTTTATTCACACTTTATTTATTCATCACATGTAAATACCTAATTTACAGTTTCAAAGGTAAATTAAATATGAAAATTAATGAAATAAATGTAGTTTTATTTCCCAGAGCAACAGTGAAGTACAATTTTGAAATTATTCGCACCAAGCAATAAGAATAAACTAATAAATTCACATTTTCCTTGATAGCCTGATCAATCAAGCTCGTGCTAAGCATACATCAAATAGCTGAGAGGTAGTCACTTTCTGTTGCCCAACCAATCAAGCAATTTTATCTACCAATGTCGATAAGCGTAGTTAATATTCATAAACGCATACATAATTCATGGATTATGTCATGTCAAAAGGCGCATAAAAGCTTTTTGAAAAAACATTAAGTTTCTAAAGAAATTATTTTTTAATGAGCAGAAAAGCATCGATGTTAGACAGAAATAGAACCATTACACGCGAATTTTATATCTCACTTAGTTGAACTCTGTACGATGAGCGTAAAAGTTTATGTACACATTCATATTGATTGAAGGGAAATGATCTGATCCGTGCTTAGTACGGTAATAGCCTTTCAAACACATTTGGGTTCAGATTGTAGGGAAACTGGGGTGTTAAAAAGGATTTAATCTTTGCAAGGATATTTCCAGAAAAGCTGCTTTTATTACTCAACCGGAAAATTAAAGTCACTTTACGGGTTACGAACAGAACAGAAACTTTATAGCTGATTAGTATCTTCATACTTCGCTTCGGGGCGGGCACCTTATCTGGCACTTTAAATAATTTGTACATTACTTTCGGAGCAATCATAAATTCTCTCTGACAATTGCAACTGATCGTGAAAAATTATGTAAAGCAAAAACATCCATTACACGTCCATACACGAATAAAAGCAATTTTCGGTATAAATAAAAATCCACAACAGACCAATAACACACATTCCTGCTGGGGATATTTTTCTAACTTAATTTTGTTGCGGCGAATTGTCTCGATAACGACTGGAATACGTGCGAAATAAAATTCTATATGATGGAATGGATGGAATTGCGATCTGGAAAATAAAAGATCGTCTCGCTAATCTAGCTACGTAATAAAAGGCTTCAAGGTCCATTTCAGACGGATAAAACGGATCTCGCTTCGCACAATACCGTCCAGTTAATGCACTTAATAAGAGAAAAATTGTATTATTCGCAGAAAACCTGCAATATCTGCGACTTGGGGACAACAACATTCACACCATTCCAACAGAGGCTCTTAAGCGCCTGCATCGTTTGCGTCATTTGGACTTGAGGTCCAACAATATTTCATTTATATCCGAAGATGCTTTTGCAGGATATGGAGATTCGATTACGTTCCTTAATTTACAGAAGAATGAGTAAGTTCTGTTTCAATTTTAAGTACGGGCAAGTCAGCTCAATTGACACAAAAAGTAAAATTAACTGGCACTGAGTTTCATAATAATAAGTTGCAAAACAGTGGAGAAGAGAATCCGTCAATATTACTTGCCTTTTACAGCATCCGTTCGCTAAGTGGCATGATTTTCGAAAACCTGAATTCATTGGAAACTCTAAATCTGCAAAACAACAAGTTGATGCATGTGCCGGAGGATGTAATGGAACCAATACTCGATACTCTCCGGGTGGTGGATTTGATGGGTAAACCCCGTAAAAAGCCCTGTGTTTTCTCTCAATTTTTTGTTTTACAGATAATCCTTTACTGTGCGACTGCGAGCTGCAATGGTATAAAAACTGGCTGAGAAATCTGAAAGACAAAGACGACGAAATGATGCAGAAGAAGAGGACGGTGTGTACCATGCAGCACGAGCATCGGGAATACAGTTTACAGAGTTTGCCTCTGGATAAAATGAAGTGCAAGATTAAATCGTACGAGAATTCGGCTTACAGTAGCGCTGACACGCAAGTAGCTGCATCCAAGGCCCTTGTGGCTCTCAACCTTTTGGTTCTAGCTAAGTTTTTGCTCGTGTCTAGTTAAAATGTGGTAAGTAATATAGGAATTTAGGTTATAGATGTTCTTGAGACCGTAGTGAGTAGATTTTGGTATGACAATTCACATTAGAAGGAAAAAGAATGATGGGATTGAGCAAGTGAGTTTTGGACACATCAGAGATTTCCAGCGGCAAGCTAATGGCACTTGCCATACCAAATCAGAGGATTAAATATTAGAGTTAGAGAATGTAGGTTCTAGTTCATTGAAATGAAGATATATGACTATGCAAAAACAGTGACACCTCACTGTATTGCAAACAGAGCCCTACAGCATGTAAGTGCTTGCGTAGTTTTGAATTTTGAGGCTTTCGCATTTAGGGAAATTATCAATTGAACGGCAAAACATTCGCACCAATACTGCCACATTTTCATTGTAGGGATATAAAAAAATAACATCGCAAGTGATTGTGCCTCGCAATGAACATTTGGACAGAATTTGCGAATTTTTTGCATTTTTCCCCTTTTTCTCCTAATATTTCGATTCCACCAAACTCATATTTATATCTGAACACTCGTCAAAGCAAGTGGGGAAAGCTCTGAATGGAAAATTGTCACTAGCTAAACTAATAGCACGTAAATCTCTAACTCTCTGTCCTTAGATCTATCTAGATGTTGTTGTTCTTCTCATATCTTGATGTGTAATAAGCGGTAGTTAGAATTATTTTTTTGTATTAGTTAATAGTATACTTGGCTGAAAATCGCATCCAAACTAACAAAAAGATAATTGATTTTCTCATGGAAGATCAGGCCTATACATATCATAGGTGGAAAACCTTTACATCCAGTCATATCAACAAGTGTGCCATCTTTTGCATTTCCAAGGACTTTGATGGATAGAAAGTTTTTGGAAATGCGGCCACAACTTTAGGTTAGTGAAACTATTTGTATTGGAATAAATTGTGAGCTTTGATAATTCATATCAGTAGTCGTAAGGAAAAATCTTGGAATAATTATTAGTAATTTCACTACCATGCGTACATTTAAGGCAGTGGTAGTGGATAGTTTTTAAAAAAATCATGTGCGTTCCAATTCAATATCACAGTTTTGAAAATCAGCAATTTTTGCTCTACACGTACCTTAAAATTAGAAAATAAAAGTAGTTCATCATAGTGTTAGAAGCATCACATCAACAAGACTTCGTTAAAAATTTCGCGTTTCCAAATAATTGCAATCTAAAAAACTCCAAAATCTCTCACCTATTAGTAGTCGAGCACTATATTCAACTGATTTTTTGTGCTGAATAGCCAACATTTTACATAATACATATCATTGTAAAATATTATTATATCTACACTATCTGTGGTAAATTTAAACATATCTTTATTAATATAAGCAAACTTTAATATACCATGATTCTTTGGTAATTTGATGATGTTTAGGCAGCCGTTCTTTGTGACGGAGTCAGCCAGACCACTTCAAGACATATCCGGCCGAGGTACCACAAGACAATGTTGCGTTGAGATGTTTAAAGCTCAAAAGAAAAATATTTTTCTAAAATTTTCTATTAGCAAAAAAGGTCGTTATCGGCATGTCAACGCAACTGTGGCACTCGGCCCTCTGTTTTTTACTATTTTCCCTAACAAAATATTATATTCAGACATATTTAATCGCTCTCATATCAATACAGTTAGAACAATGGCTGTTGTGTAATGAGTGTCATATATTTATCCAGATAACTATAGATTGTTTCTGAAATATAATATTCTATCTATAAATGTCGAATAAAGAGCCCTATGCTGACACTAAACTGTTTTGTCTATTGAATAATCCCGTTTTCCTCTAGTTTTTATGGTTGCTTCTATTGCTTTGTTAATTTTAGTGAAAAAAAAAATTTGGGAACTTCAAATGAAAAAAATTTAAGCGAAACTTACTTCCAGCGAGTGACGTTGTCTTAAAATCGTTTTTTCCTAAATTCAAAAACATTTTTCAAGATTGAAGACTATTTTTCAAAAGTTGTGGGAATTTTTTTGGGAAAACAGCTTTTTATAAATAGAAATTTTCTGCATAACTCTGTTAATATCGGGGGGAATTGAAAATGTTGGAATTTGCTGAAAAACGTACGAATTTCTATAAAAATGTATTGTTTTCCACTGCTGCCTCACAAAAATGCGGAACCTTTTAAGAAACGCTGTTACTAGTGAATGGAAATGAAGCTCTTGAAAAAGTTACCAGTTTTATCTGAAGAAAATTCTAGAGCATACAAAAATAAGTGCGCTATAATTTCGATAAAGTCGTAACATAAAATTCGCCACTTAAAATCCACAAATCTGCATATGAGAGCAGAATAAATGCTATGAAAAAAACTACAACCCTGGTTGCCATCTACTTCTACAAAATGAAATGCTGTCCGGATCCAGACCGCTGAAAATTCCCTAAAACCCCGATATTTTCTCAAAAAGCTCATTTAGTGGCTGTTACTCTGCCTGAAGGGAGCTGGATCGTAAAAAATCTGAAATATATCGGATCGTTGCTGGCCGCTGAAAATCCCTAATAATAAAATAATTTACAACAGAAAAACACTAGTTTTGATATCTTAATTTTTACGACTTTTTAAGCACATTGAATTTGCAAAGTTTAAAGATTTTGATTTGATTTGTTTTGGGTTAAAAACAAATTACTGCGGAAAACCTGACTGATTAATGTTGAAAAACTGAGTGAAAATGATTGAAATTTTGCAAACACTTGGCGGTAATTTACAGAAGCAAAATTACCTAATTATTTAGTTCGAAATTCTCTGGATTTCTATAATAAAAACTTACTTCTGTTATAAATTCAAAGTCAAGAACAGTTCAATTTAGGGTGTATTTTAAAGAAAGAAAAGCCTATCATAACGCAAATTACCAGCCAAGACAAGAAACAGTATAAGTAGTTCACAAAAAGTCAATAGTTTTACATATCAAAAGAGTTTTCTGTCGAGAACCTCATTCATGAAAAGTATAATATCTAAGGTTAAATTAGTTTTACAGAGAGAACATTTTAAAAACTTAATGCATAATCCAGAACGCCTCTCATCGTTCTTTGTCGAGTAAATATGGCATGCAGTATATGATGAAATACATGTCAATAATATGGGACTAWAAGCTCTACATCTACCGGGCAACCAGRGGCAAAGTAATGCGAAACTTACCTAAAGCTGCATCGTGCCACCTGGAACGAAATAAGAAGAATATTTAGTACAGAAACTTAGTCTGGAGTGTGATTATTTCAAASGAASAGAGMAAATAAAGATAGTTTAAAAATGCCATCAACTTAAGTTGCTTCTCGAAAAAGTAAACTCAGTTCACGCTAAAGGATTGATAGATTATAACTMAGGTTTACCAGCATTCTGCAAGCTGGTGCCCCATCAGCTTTCTCTTATTATTAACCCTCAAAACCTCAACCACACTTGAACAAACAATAAAGATCTACTCCAAATGAAAAACTAACTTTTCAGTGGGCAGATAACTGGTAATCTAGTATTGGCACCAAATCATCCTGTATATGCCGCCCATGAACAAWGGACTGACGMCATATTTTGTTCGCTTCCCGTACCAAACTTAATCACCTTTTCCAAAAAAACGCTTTCCGAAGAKAGTGAACTAAGGCAGGGTCGTCGTCCCTTTGGATRAGTCATTTGCAGTTTGATTTCCGTTTGTTTTAATGTTGACTGTTTAACTGTGTTTCCATTAAATGCTCTCGGGCTTTTGTTCGATTTTTGTGAAACTTGGAGTCTTTTCAGCTGGATATGTTGTGTAGATCCACATTTAATRCTCCGATGGAATACGAACTTGAATCATAAAATCAATTTCTATTGAACAGCTAGATGTGTGTGCAAAAGTGATCTAATCTAAGTTTCATTTTTGCASGAGTTCTCGGATCAGTTTTTGCCGAACTTTTAACTACATTTATTMTTGTAATTGAATTGAACCTGTCCTGACTRAATCTCTACTACATGACCTAACTTGAAAGCTGGATCCGCCCTTGCTTCTACTATTGTTTACTTTCTTTCGGGTGTTTTCTTTAAACTACATGAATTATCTGGACTCGTTAATGCGGGAAGCGTGGGTACTTGGCAAACCCATAGAAATAGCACATTAATAAGAAACGTTTACCAGAAAACACAAAAGGCTAAAAAAACATCATATTGAATATCAAAAAATATTTATTTTCGAATTTAAAAAATATAGTTCATCTGATTAACTTAAACGAAGAGTGCGACAGCACCCTAATTTTCCTGAGAGTCGTTTGCGAGCTTTCAACCAATCATCATGGCTTTAAATTCTGAAAAACATTTAAATAAAATGAGCATTAAAATGCAGCATACATTTGCAATAGATTGAATGCACTTCACCAAATAATCAAGATATCAAACAGTGCGAACGTTCGAATTTTTGCGTCTACGCACCTTCCCAATCTACAGTTCCTGAATTATCAGTATCAATTTCCTTAATCATTTCATTTAGATCTGCCGGGGTGAGTTTGTCGTCCAACTCTTTCAGAATGTCTCTAAGCAAATCAACCGTAATGTAGCCCAAACCTGAAGAAACAACCCTAAAGTATATCAAGGTGGTTTTGACAGTGATTTGTTACCTTCTTTGTCGTATAACCGGAAAGCATCTTTCAATTCTCTTAAGATGGCCTCTACATCTTCCTCTTCTTCCACCAGGAATCTAGCTGCCAGATGTGCAAACTCCTCAAAACTCATCACTCCGTTGCCATCTTCATCAATTTCTTTAATAATTTTCTAATTTCCAAAAATTGTTAGCACCAGAATTGAAATACTTGAACAACCGAACTTACAGCGAGTTCTTCAGGGTTGAGTTGGTGACCCAACATATCCAGGATTTGCCCAATCATTTCCACGCCAATTTCGCCTTTCTTCTCCAAATCGAACGAATCAAATATTTGCTTTAGCACTGAAAAACAAGCAAGCCGGGTTAAACTTTAGGAAAAATACGGGCGTTGACTTACTTTTGAGCTGATCTTTTGCGATATCCAGATGTTTCAAGGCTTCATAATCTAATACGACTTCCTAAAATTTGAACATTTGTAGGTTTGTTTTATACTTACTTTGGAGCAAGTGGTACATGTTATACTTACGGTTTTGGTGTCCGCCTAAAATATAAATCAAATAGTTAATAAGCCAATCGGAAAAATGTATGAATTTTTATATTAGATTAGTTTAGAGTTTTTTAAGCGCAGTTGCTTGTATAGAAAAGAATCGAATTCGCTTACCATCTTAAGAAAAGCGCCGCTAACTGTTAGATGCCCGATCAAATAAAGCAACTAATACCGTTTTGAGCAAAGAAATATTTATAAAATTATATCCAGCCGCGTCATAATTATTGACATTAAATCGCGTCACCGATATTGGCATAGGACAATTTGTTATCGATTGCAGCTGCTTTCGTGGCCATTATATCGGTTCTTAAGGTCATCCTAAATAGAAACCAGCTATAAAAATACAGGTGAACTTTGCTAATTAATGATGAAAAGGCAGTATTCGATATTTTTGCCCATCATGTTGTTTTTGGACCTCGATTTGCTTCTCTACAGTTTTCCATATTCCAAATAGTTTTTCTTAATATTATGGCTTTAAGATGATTTGAAATAACAGAGCGCTGAATTATTAGCTAAAAAGCGTACTTACGGGTGGCGGTTTTTTTGCCGCAGGCTTCTGTTCCTACAACGAAAATTTTCAATATTAACAAACCCATATTAAATTAAGATAATKTTTTGTTAAAACAGCGAAAAATCAAAAACATTACTTGCGATTCATCGGCCATTCTACCGGTAACTCACTAACTCACTGTGTTCACAAAGTAAACCWAAACATGCTCGATTAATTCTCTATATATAGGTAGAGCTCTTATGTCTGTCAGCACCCTGTTAATTAGGTAAGAAATTCTTTGAAGCATMACAAAAAGATTTAATTTCTTGCCAATGAACTTGTCAACACTTWATTTTGTAAACGCAATCGATGTTGTCATTGAAAATGCATTTCTATAGGGTGGCAGCAAACAAATAATTAATTTGGTCGCTAAAATATCATTGGAACTGAGAAACCTAAACGGAAAAGTGTTTAGAATTTCTAAAATCAAAGAATTTTCTCGAATAACAACATTCTCATTGCAAAAAGCGTAACAGAGTGACAAAAGAAGACAAAACTGAAAATAATAGTAAGTACATCGTCCAAGCATGATTCTGCTAGTACGCACTATTTTTGCAGAAAAAACATTGATCTTTAATCGAAAGTTGCAGAATACTGCCATTGAGAATCTGTATCGTTTATTCAAAAACCGAGTTAATGAAATGATTACTAGCGAAACCCACGCTGCTTTAAAAGGTTTTGCACATTCAGAACCATTTTAGTTCTGCTTTGGCATCATATGAAATCTTCGTCAAAGAATGAACCATTCATCAAGGCATTCAGTTCTGGTTTGCTCTCTAGATGGTAAAACATACTTTGGGAGCAATTTTGCTGGAATGGAAAATGGTTTTCACAGCTTTATATTGATGTATGCACTCAGAGAAATGTTGAACATAAAATTTTCCAGTCAATTGACAATCGATTASTAAACACGAAAAACTATCGATGCCCTRAAGCAAAATGTGAAAATTGAAGTTAATATTAATACTTCTAATTACGTCTGTTCCCAAATTACTGAGAATTTCTTGGGTTTGACTCAATAATTTCAGAGAGGATTAAGGGACGAGCTTCTCACCAGCTTTCTAATAGACAGCGAGAGCTTTAACAATATTTACGACTTGGTAAGTTAGAGCGTGGAATTCAATTACTTAAATATAAAACAAAGGAGCCAAAGTTTTCTGTTTGTGGCGTTGAACATTGAATTTACCAATAGATTTAACTAGAAGTGATCAGTACTCTACGCCGACAGGCTCAATAAACATGAAAATCCTCCGGTAAATTGGTTTATTAATTAAAATATATACAATTTCGTCAAAATTYSGCTTACTTCCTTAATCCAAGCAKTTATTGGGTTAATAAACTGAGCCAAATTTCAACGAAGCAWAGCAATGCTGAGTYTAAATTMAATTCTATTTAAATGRGAATATATTAAGTTACTGTTACAAAATCACGCTTTTCCTATTCGCGTCAACATCAATTTTTAATGTGTTTTTATTGTAACGTTTTTATACGAATTAGGGTCTAAACATCGTGGATTCCTGGTCCGCAGTTTTGTTCATAAACGTATAAAACCTGCTGATTTTGATGGAAACATTTATCCGATGTTCCCCATATGATCTGGAACGAAGATCGGTAGAAATCACTATTTGAATTTGTTACCTCAACTTTGATTAAGAGCAGATCACACACCTAAGCCTTACTGAAGTGTTGTGTACAAACTGTAGACACCGCTGCGTTTTCATGCGGCTGAGGATTTTGCTAATTTCATGGACTTTTTATTTAAAAAGTTTTATTTTAAAATAGAAATTTTGGGGAAAGGCTTTGTCTTCATTTAATGATAGCCAAATCAATCGTTTTTGCAAATCGTTTCTCAGTTCGTACTGATACGTGCCTGTACGCGAAGGTCAAGAATGGCACGAAAGAACACTTCGGATCCACAAATAAATAATTGGCAATGTTCGGATGCCATCATAGTAAATAAAACCAAGAAGTTGAGCGGCTTTATGTTGTACTTTCCATACGGATCCCCTCCAGCAGTGCGTCAGAATAAACATGAGTACTAGAAAGCTTTCTCTACAAAAAGTGATGTCTTTCGTAGAAAGTGTGGATGAATGTGGCATTGTAAATATGGTAAGTTTTGAATTATTCTGGGTTTCATGTTCTTTTATACTCAATTGAATTTGCCTTACTTTGACCTTAATTGCACGAGAACAAAAATAACAATAGTTCTTTTTTCTAGGATGATCTGGATAAAGAGCAGTTATTAAGTGAGTGCAATTTAGGTGTGATAAGTTTTCAAACTTAGCTTGAATCACAAAAACATACAATAAAAGTAATATTTATATCAAACAAAATTCAGACAAATCCACTCTTCTTTCACTGCTAATTAAATCGTTTAGTGTTAAAGTCCACTTTCGACGCATTTGACGTGGACAAAAAAGGCTTCATTTCGGTGGAAATGATCGGAACTATTATGGACATGCTTGGAACGCAGCTCGATTCAAGTGAACTTGAAGTAAGCCAATTCTGAAACCTCAACAGTTAATCTAATGTTTCTATATTATAGGACGTGATTGAAGAAATTGATGAAGACGGAAACGGAGAAGTGAGTTTTGAAGAATTTGCCAATTTAGCAGCCCGATTTCTAATCGAAGAAGAAGAAGATACCGACGCAATTCAAACCGAGCTGAAGGGAGCATTCAGAATGTATGACCGAGAAGGTATTATCACAATTACTTGCTAAACTTCAAGCCTCAATAGCATATTAATACACAGGCAATGGATTTATTACCATTGAAGTTTTGCGCGAAATATTGCAAGAGCTTGACGAAAAATTGACTGACGATGATCTGGACAGCATGATTGACGAAATTGATATTGATGGATCGGGAACGGTTGACTGGGAAGGTACGTGGGTTATTTGGCATGAAATAATCACATCTCAATAACTCGAATTACATGGGAAAATGGCTATGATACGTATCAAGTTACTCAACAGCCCGAAATTAAAAATAACATTAACAATGACAAAACACATACGTTTTTCCGTTTATTTTTTTAAGAAAAACCTTTAGCTTTCGGTATACAATGTTCCAGAAATAAATACATTTGCAAAGAAAAATTAGCACCAAGGAAAAAACCGTGGTTTTGAAAAATTGCGCCTTTACTTTGATATGTTCAAGTTCGGGGCATGATTTATACGTGTGATCTAAATAAATTCATATCTCAGTTGTTATCGGGTTTTCGAATAATAAATTCACCACTGGCTGCTGCATGTAGGTATCAATAAATAACGAGCAATTAGTTACTAATATGTAATTCATTACTATTTACTTTACCTGTTAAAGCTGTGTATCATGGCAATTATATTTTTTGTCAAGTTTCAGATTTTTCTCCATTAATTCTGTTTCAGAATTCAAGGCAGTTATGATTGGTTAACATTGAAGGCAGTCGCATTTACAACAAATCAAATGGGCTTCAGGATTTGATTATATACTTTTCGCACGTTTGTTAGGATTTTTTTATGTTTATAAGGTTGTAGATACTGTTTATTTAATAAAGTTGTTTATGAACAGAAATCTAGAGTTCATTCAGAGAACAGAAGATCTTTTGGGAGTTTTGATAAATAGCTGGAACTCAATTTTCTCTTATTTGTAAAGTTTTTCATGAAATGCACAAGACATTTTTGGATAAATTGAGATATATTTTTCAAGCTGTTTTTTGAGTGATTTTATCAAAAGCAGTCATTTACTAGAATTCGCAGTAAAACAATAAAAAGTACGCATAAGGAAATGTTTTCCGTATATCCCAAATCAGATCCATATCTAGTTTTTCATAAAGATATGGTGGGAATAATATAAAAAATCTCAGCTTACAGTATGAGTTTGAGATTTACAGATATCTTCAGTTTAAATGATTCTAACTACACAGGCAATGAGATGGGCCTCAATTAAATTATTGTGACAAAATGATGATTAATGAGCTTTTTGAAAGCGACTTGATGATGAAAGTATATAGGCATGGCTTCAAGTCGTAACTAAATGATTAAAATAAAACTACAATTAAAAGCTGAGTAGATGTTTACTTTTTTGCTTATTTATATACTGATCTCACAATAATTTATTTGCGTTTATATTTTAGTTATTGTTAATAAGTGTCACTAGAATTTAGTGTTTGTGGCTTGTTCTTGTTATATTCTAATCTCTTCTCTCTCTGATGCAAATCGTGCACATTTTAAGGAGCTTTTAACACTTTGAAACTGAGTTGAACCACTCATGAAAATAAATCTAATTGAGCATGATTTTCGGCTTGGTTAAGGCTTCAAAATATTGTAAAATATCGGAGAATATATTCCGAATCATAATACTAGAAGAATTTTCATATAATTCAATTTATTTAAAATAATTAAAACTGTATAAAAAAGCACGATTTGAATGAATAACTGACGTATTTAAAATATAGCGCAAATATTGTGACAGTCATATAACAACTTTTTTAAAATTCAGAATTTTCTGTAACATAATTTGCATAAAAGTAGCGAAATATACACAATTTACAAAGCTCTCGGCTGTTTTGTTTATGTATACAGACACTCAACAGTAACCGTGCCAGGCCAGGAAAAAACTGGCGTTTGGTATCCGATCCAGGACGAAAATACAAAGCAGAAACGTTTACACCACATTATCGAGCAGACTTTACAGTGGTTTAAAATTTAATTTGATTCTGAACGGCTTTAATCCAGTCGAATGTATTTCTGGCACAGATCCAGCTACGAAAGCGGGTATAAAATTTTCCGGGGCGAGCCTACGTGAACGCTGGCTCTGTTTGATATCTGGTAAATTGTTCACATTGTTAATAGGTGGGAACAGGATTGGACTCGAGTTGGATTTAAGCATAATATATACTTGAACCAACATATGAAATTTCTATAATGGCAACCAAAGGCAATAGCTTTTCAGCGAAATGAAATTAAACACTTAGAAATCAAATTTTAGCTGCTCAAAGTACCAGAAGAAATTATAACAAATCTTCTATTTTCTAAAGCAAAATACGGTTTGAAAGATGCCGACAAAATACGATTTAAAAAAGGACACCAAAAATCACCGAGCCAAGGAAAGCGTTTCCCAATCTAATAATTTTTTGGATAAGGCCTTAAAAAGAAGAACTATTTGCTTAAATGCACATTACCCAAGAAATGTTTAAACTAGTTAGAGCGCAGCTCAACTCTGCAACTTATGCGCTAAGCAAACGAGCTTTTATCGCCCATTCTCTCTTTAAAGGGACTAAATTATTTAGGAGTTAAACCAAAATTAAAAATTCATAATTCGAAAGTTGATTACCCCACATTGAAAAAAAGTTTGTAATGGCGCAAATTGAATTTGCAAAATTGGCAAATAGATACCTACAGAGATTAGATCAATCGAATGGAAACGTTCATAACGATTTATTATTCGAACGGGTTTAATGATTTGTTGACTTTAAGTTAATTAAGAATCATTTTTGCCAAGCCAAGTTGCTACAGGGGAGTAAATTCTGGCTCATTAATTTTGCAAGCTGACAAGATGGAGTAATTAACATGCGTCCCAATTGAAATAGCCCTGAATAATAGCTGTTCGATGAAAATTTATATTTTTTGGAAAGAGGAGAAATGTTAAATCACCGACTTTAAGCTGCAAGGAAATATAGTGTGTAAAACATATAATACGTGAGAAAAAATTCAGAAAATTAGTTTTTAATTAACGAACTATTGAAAACAGGAGGATTTTGTATGAATACAGTGTAGCAATAGGTACCTGTTCAAATAGAATATTTGCAAGCGGAAATTATAAATTATATTTTGAAATTGGGAAACCAAAATCCGCGCCTGTGGAAACAATTAACAGCTGTTTAACGGAAATTAAAAACTCACTCGAAAGTAACTGTCCGCCTTCTATTTTAAGAATCCTCAGATTTATACAGTTCCTACGTAATCTTAAAACAAGATTTTCAAATTTATGTCAGTTACGTTTTGGAAAAGGTAACGAACGGCCAGTAATCGCCAGGATGTCGGTATGTCTTGCACATTTTCCCTGTAGATCGAATTTAATCGGTTTCCTCATTTTTTTCAGGACGAATTGGATAAAGAACAAACTGCTCGTAAGTACACTAAAATAATTTTTTTAATTTTCTTGTTGTTTTTTCTAGCTTTTTCAACAATGTTTTGTAATGTAAATTAATATTTTATTGCATTTCGATGTCATCTATTCAGAGCTTTTAATTCAGTCGTAAGAGTTTCAACGGAATTGAAACTTCTCAACTGATACATAAAAGGAGGACATAAAAGTTGATAGAAAATTTCTCCTGAAATTGATTTCAAATAAAGTAGACGAACAGATGGAAACGTTCATTTTCTTCTTTCGCTTGTACAGTTTTTAATTGCTTGTGTTTTTTAGCTTGGTTACTCCCTTAAAAAAGCGTCATATCGTAATTCCTCAGGACAAAACTGGAGGCAATTAAACTTAGATTTTGACGAAATTTTCTTAAATCTCTGCTCATATTGAAGTCTGTGCTCTAATCCTGAAAATATTCTTTATTCACGTGCCATTTTCTGAACCAAAAACTTTGACAATTTGCAAAAAATTTTAAGAAATGAAGTAGATTCAACAACTGAGTAAACAGAGCCGATGTATTTTAAGTGAATATCTCCACTTCAAGTATTTTTTAAATACGGTTTTTCAATCAATTGCTTAACATCCACTGTCTGGAGCCGTCATTCGCATTAAGTGAGAAATGGCTTCAACCCAAACAATGTAAAGTTCAGACATTCAGTCAGGAACAGAAAAATCAATACTCTCTAAAATCTCTCTGCCCGAGGAATAAAACGACCTTAAATGGGTAAAGCAGGTTATTTTTAAATTATTCCATTGTATTATTTACATTATAAAAGGAACTATACAGTTGGATAGAAATAACGAAATTTGCGGAAATTGATTTTCTATCAACTTTTATATATTTTTGGCCGAAATGAGCAGTAAAACATTTTTAGAAGATAGATAAGATAACTTAAATCAGATAATAAAAACAATTTCAGAACTCTATCGATTTTTATTAGTTGACGATTAAGGCCTTCAGTTAATTGATAATATTTAAGTCCAAAATTGCATTATTTTCAAATATCTACAAGCATTTTGATCATTTGTTTTATTATATAAAACGTATTTTTTAGCTTCGCTGATATACTAATGGGTAATTAATAATGTTTGGCAGATTTGTCTACAAATTCCATATACCCATCAAACACATCAAAGGATCACACCTTTAAGAAAAAAACATAAAGTAAAATTTGATCTTCGCCCTACATTTCACTTGATTTTCAGCAGTTCTAAGGCAATTGCTTTGTAGCTGAACATCTACTAATAAAACTAAAATAGAAGACAAATATAATCAGTTAAAGTCCAGCTAGATTTGCCAATTCTAATGGCCTTAAAGAAAAGTAGTTTTTCGGTGGAAGCTTCTTTACTCTAATTTGAACGCCATAAAGTACCTATGTAAAAGCTCATAGCTTTTATACTTTTTTTTATTGCGGCGAATTCGTGTAAAAGCTCTAAATTGGCATTAGAATAATCTAATCTGGAGTTTATAAAAAAAATTAAAAACCTAAATGGACGTTTCAAAAATATTGGCAGAAGCTCCACTTCCTGAAACCCAGTGGGCGTTACAATGATCCACAAATCCCAATCTGATGGATATCGTGCATGTCTCAAACATTATCTCCACTATTAATAAATAGTATTTTTAGCAGAAATATTATTTTCAACCACAACATGACATTCCGTGGGAGATTAATAACAAAACACAATGATATAAACATTAAGTTAAATAACAACTTAACTTATGGTCTAGGCAATTTAAGTCATCGACTAGGATTAAGTTCGACTGAATAATGAGCAAAATGTGACGCTGATTCCACAATAACTCTTTAAAGTTTATATAGCCACAGCTATCATCTAACTTCAGCGACACTCAAAAAGTTTACGGCAACAGTTAACAGCTTAATCGTAAAGAAATTTATATAAGCGAAAATAATATTTTGTTTATATTAAAGTTTAGCAGCAAGAACACAGGCTTTTATCAAAGCACGCAAGAAAACCTGTTTTTTACTCGTGGAATCGTTGGTCATATATATGAGAATCCTTACATCGAATTTATACCAATTTGTTTCAAATATAATCATCTTTTTCCTAGTTCTGAAGAAAGCATTCGACACTTTCGATGTCGAAAAAAAGGGCAGCATCGGTACCCAAATGGTTAGGACAATCTTCGCCATGTTGGGTATTACTACAACTGAGCAGATATTGAATGAAATTATTGCTGAAGTGGATACCGACGGTACGAAAATTTTGTTTGTAACTTTTGAAGCAGCCAATTAAAAGTTAGAAACTGAATTGTTGCAGGATCTGGTGAGCTGGAATTTGAAGAATTCGTTACTCTGGCTGCCAAATTCATGGTTGAAGAAGATGCCGAAGCCATGCAACAGGAGCTCAAAGAAGCTTTCCGTTTGTACGATAAAGAAGGTAAATTCGTGGAATTAAGCAAATTGCTCAAGTTATCGGTTTTCCGGCTTAAGTGCAGTTATTAGCTAATGGAAGAATCGAGGCAGTTTCTAAGAAATCTATTATTGTTTTTTGCTGGGTTTTATCACACAATTTACCTTAAGTGCCCGCAATTAACTTCATCATGCGTCGAGCGCAAAATTCTCTATTTGTTTTTTGCAAACTTATGCATTTTATACATGAAGCGTTCAGCTTGGCATTGGTTCAAATACCATCAAATGGTCAGTAGGTAGTAAAATGCTTCGTTTCCCATGCTGATGGATACTGACGCTAATGCAAATAAATCCTGCTCAGCTTACTTTGAACCTGAAGCTTTTTGTTATACTATTAAATTAAAATGTAAATAATCCACCAACTAAACGAAAACAATGTAAATTTCGAGTCAATCACATGTATATTTGCTTAGAAAAAAGTGCATTTTGCGGTAAATAATCAAAAGTTTTCGGAACATTTCAGGCAATGGTTACATCTCAACAAAGACTCTGAAAGAAATTCTAAAGGAATTGGATGACAAGCTGACCAACGATGAACTGGATATGATCATTGCTGAGATTGATACTGATGGCTCAGGGACCGTGGATTTTGATGGTGAGTAACATGAAATGTGTTGCAATTTTCAGCTGCTTCTATTGCCACATAACATAGGAATAAAACGAAAAATTCCCTGTGGAAAATCCATTTTGGCACGGCCATATCAAAACACATAAATACTGAAATTGTGGTAGGTGCACTTGGCAAGCAGGAAACATTTCAATTTAAAGTGGCTCTTAATCCGTCAGCTTTCCATTATCTGGGTTAAGATTCGATATAAATCACTTGGACCCAAACAAATAAAAACAACTGTTCAAATTGAGCTGTTCGTGTAATTGTTCAATTTCGTTTTTGTAGAATTTATGGAGGTCATGACTGGAGGCGACGACTAAACTTAACTACCACCAACAACAATGGGGAACAACCTGGCCAAAGTATTATTTAAATGGAATCATTTTTATGAAAGTGATGAACAGTTTTTCTATTGCAAATGGGAGCTGAGTTTATTTTATGTAAATAAATGAATACCTATCAGTTTATTACAAAACAGTCTTTGATTTTCTCATTTCATAAAACCGCTAAAATTTCCTACTTTTCCTTCTGTTTCTAGTTGTCTTGGATAGTTTGAGAGCAGTTATTATAAAGCTCTGTATTATTTACTATCTACCTAAATTTTTTTGGGTTACTTATTCTGGACTATTTACTTTTAGATCCAGTCATTAAAGAAAATGCAAAAGGGCTTTGTGTTAAATAAAAGTCCAATCCGTTCCTGTTTCAAGAGACAAAGCGACTGCAATAAATCTTATAGAAAAAATTATAACGTCTGATTATTAGCCAGCTATTTTAAGTTTGCAGCAGATTTAAATACTCACATAATTTGCTCATTCCATTTCTATAAAGCTCCAGTGGCATTATTAATTAATTCAGTTCGGTACAGTTGCCCGATTGTCCATTTTCTTGCTATCGAACTCTTTCGAACATGTCGGTAAGAAATCGTGAAAATTTCAATAAAAGTAAAACGAAACAAAATTTCAGGCAGTTTATTTAAAATGTAAATTATCTTGCAAATTGAATGTTTACTTCATAAATTTAAATATGTTCCATTAATTATTGGAAAATTAGCATTTAAAACTCTATAAAAGAAAAATGTTTATCTATTTACATGCATAAATATTTTTTTACTTAATATGCTTACTGAAGTTTTTTCTCATTTTAATTCCCCACAATCATAATATTGTGCTTCTGTTCTGGGTTTAGGATGAACTCTCCAAGGAACAAATTGCATGTAAGTTAATTGTGATGATCACCTGTCCTGAACTTGTTATGACTACCTTTCTCTTATTAATATTTTCTTATCGAAATATGTAACTGTGGTGTATAATATACCACTATAATGAAAGTAAATGCCATTTCGGTCAATTTTTGTGTAATGTACAAGCTTGACCGTTCTTAAATTTTTAGTGCTTAAAAATGCTTTCGACACCTTCGATGTGGAGAAAAAGGGCAGTATTGGTGTGGTCATGATAGGCACCATTTTAAGTATGCTTGGAGTACAAACAACTGATAAAATGTTGGCAGAAATCATTGCAGAAGTGGACGAAGATGGTAATATCAATTTTTAAGAAGCATCTTCATGCAACGTTTTGCTTTCGCAACTTCACTCAAAAATTTGGGAAAATGTGCCAGTTTTTTTTATCAAATGAACAAACATGAAATTACATCTGTTAAAAAGGCCCTAGTTTCCAAACAACTATTTATTATATTTTTAAATGTTTAGCCTGAGGTCCTTACTCTTGGCATGAGATAGCAACATTTGGCCATTTGAACTTGATTACTTTCCGGCTTAACAAAAAAACATTTTACGTATAAAATGTTTTATAATACATAAAGAATGCATGTTGGATCTGATATTTTAGGTTCCGGAGAGTTGGAATTTGCCGAATTTGTAACTTTAGCGTCACGATTCATGGTGGAAGAGGACGCGGAAGCGATGCAACAAGAACTGAAAGAAGCCTTTAGATTATATGACAAAGAAGGTGAGGAATCAACTTTATTTCAAACTTTTTCGATTTATTATGAGGGTCTTTAATAACTTGATTCAAGGCAACGGATATATCACAACGAGCACCTTGAAAGAAATCTTGAAAGAGTTGGATGACAAGTTAACATCGGATGAATTGGACATGATTATTACTGAAATTGATACTGATGGTTCAGGCACCGTGGATTATGATGGTAATAAGTTTGGAATCGATTGCAAATCTTCTCCAGTTGGAAATTTTGTTGCAGAATTTATGGAAGTCATGACTGGGGGTGATGATTAGGATAGACAGATTAACATTGAAGGGGTTGGGATTCAGTTCAAGTACCTCTTTAAAATTGAGGAAGCATTTGATCAAATTTTGTGGGATTTAATAAAATTGGAATAAACACGTTTTATGTGTCTAAACTAACTTCTACATATTCTTTATTTAGCTTGGTTGAATTTATTAACTTTTGAGACATAATAAAATTCGAAGGTGCATTTGTCACGGGCATGTGAGTGACTAAAGCTTATACGTTATAACCGTAAATGAAGCATTATTCAACAATTTGCGAAATTTGCCAATTTTTGCAGCCTGTCTAAATTCAACACAATTATTTATAGTGCGATTATCACATGTTCTTGTAAATTTCACACGCATGCATGACTCAGATGCAACATGAAGCAATAATTTTAATAATATTGTACGCATTTACCTCCCGTATTGCTCATATAATTCCCGCAAGGAAAATGATGCATA